AACGTTTGTGCCAAATTATTTCAAAATCCCTCCATCTAATGTACATAGATGATACTACTGAACCTATTCCGGTAACTACCGCTATATCGCACTCAGTGGTGTCGCAGATATCTGCACCGAGCGGTCTGCCATCCAGTGGAGAAACCGATACTCCTACAAGGCTAGGAAGATAAACAGAGACAGCCTTTTTCTGTGGAACATTAATAGACTATCCTCATTGATAATCGACAGTGATTTCTTTTCTTTTTTGATCAAATATGATATCATTCTTATGTTGATATATACAACTTTTGTTAATGTCCGCACCTCAAATTCAATAAAACGGCTAAACGTCATAGTAGAAGCGTACTTGTATATACACTTGTACATGTATTCGCAATAAATATTTCAATCATGACAATAATGAGCTTGGTGTTTTGGATTAATCACAAGAAACTCAAAACTGGAACAGTCATTGACATTTGTGTTTTGCATATAAAAATACGAGAATTGCAGATATGGCTTATTCCGAGGGATCACTTTGTTTCGAGATTTTTTATAACCATGGCGCGCCCACGTATGCTGTTGTAAGATTGTTGATGTAATCTATTTAAAAATATATACATGTAATTGGAAATTCATCAATCAATGTGTCCGACCAAATTTGACAGACAAGTCCCAATCCAAACAACATATATCATTTCTAGTTTATCTTACAACATGACGATGCCTTTAGGTCAACTGACAAGTTTAATTATAAATGTATGTCTAGAACAAAGTTCGCCCGTGCCTGCTCCTGTTTCATTAACAAAAGTACAAAGTATCCGAGTCTCTTTAAATTGTTTTCAAACAGATATCATCAACAATATTCAAACAGCAGATGATGGTGCGACATGGTAAGTAATGCCTGCCACACATATTTTAAAGTAACAAAGTCAATGGTGAGTGTCACAGTACCGAACCAACGTGTGTATATATATTAGAAAGTTTGAATGCTTAAGATCAAAGCACTTAGATTATATGACCATTTAAAGTCTTTGCACTTGTTGGTCATCGTTACCACAATGTGACCTTTTGACCATTAACAGAATAATGGATGTGGTATGTAGAACTCATGAAGGTGCATTTACATATAAAGTTTGAAGGTCCAAGGTCAATGGGTCAATGTCACACTTAGAGGTCAAAGGTCACATTGTGGTGTAATGTTTCGTGTCTCGAATATAAGTCATTCACTGATGATTGGATTTTCATATAACCTGGCAAAAATGTTCACTTCTACCAGATGTTTTGACATCACACAGATTCCTCGCTTCAAGGTCACTGTCACACTTAGAGGTCAAAGGTCATATTTTTGTAAAACATTTTTTTGAAGGAGTAAATGATGATGGGATGTTCAAATAGCCTAGCCAAATTTTCAATATAAATAGAAATTTTGCTGCACGCCCAGGTCCCTCTTTCTATGGCAAAGGTCTCAGAGGCCAATTCATGAATTATCAAATTGTGGTGCATTTTTGTGTCATGTTGGCACGTTGGCACGGCACCATTGGCAGTTAAAGAATGTTCTTTATGTTGAATACTACGTATATTTTCTTTCTAAAATCTTGCAGATAACCTTTCGATTTTTGCCCAGTACATAAATCATACCCACTACTGATATGAATTGCTGATATGCATCGTGCATTGATTTTCGCAACATTATATGGTTGTAAAGCACGAAGATAAATGACTAGCAAATGCAATAAAACTTTTTATAACATCTCATTCTCTAATAGTTTTCCAGAAAAAAGTCGAGTTACAACACTTTTCGAACTACCCTCGTTTTATTGGACCTTACAACGACCCATACAACTACACCTCCCTTCTTTCCAAAATAAGGACATATACCATTGTCTCTCCTCTTTACTAAGATTTTGCTGATATTTACTTTATTTCACTATCAACATAAAATCCAAAAAGTTGTTCAATTATTATTAAACTACATACGATGATCAAACAATGACAAACAACAACGATAACAAATTGAATTACGGTGCATAACATAAGCTTATGTTACTACATGTAAAATAAATGTTGTTTTAAATAAGTTGTATACAGTGTGTACGTTTGAAAAAAAACTACACACCCAAAGCTTAATTACATGAATATCTATAACTTGGAATGCACATTGTGAAGAAATCTAGTAGTTTACATAAATCTGAATCTGTTTAGCAATAGTTAACTAAAGGTTACACTCTCATAGGTACTTTATAGGAAAGATGATCGGACGCACTGTCACAACATTTAAATTAAACAAACGCAATCTATAACAAATCGAGAAAAGTACTTGAAACGTAGAATATATTAAAATTAACTGATACAATTCAATGAACAAAAATAATCTATGTAAAAACTCGTTGTCTGCCATATTTCATTCACAAACGCGCCGAATTATCATGTTCAACAGACAAGTCAAAAGTCACAAGTCAAAAGTCATAAGTCACAAGTCAAAAGTCGTAAGACACAAGTAAAAAGGGCAGGTTTATGCTTCCATAACCAGAGCTATCTTTTTCTCCAGTTAATTTTAGGCAATTAGTACAGTTATAATGATTTAGTATTTTGTATGGAAGTCTAAATACTACTTTGTTAACATATTTCTACTTTTATGACAAATCATATCGCATTTTTCGCTATTTTCTTCCGGTAACAAACTCCAAATATTCTTTAAAACCATTATTTAAACTTTATAAAATTCATGTTTGCCCTTTCTAAAGAAGTAAAAATTTATTTGTTTCCGAGGCATAGTAAATCATCTATAGCTGTGTTAGAATAATCAACGCATACAAGATGATGCTAACATTGCACACTTACTAGCTTCAAATAAAAGCTTTAAGTCACATACATTCAATGACATACATTTAATGTATAAACCTACTTAGGTTGACATATGCACATAGACTCCAGTGTCATATTAAAGTTTTGTTAAACGATATTAAATCTCTACATTGTGTTTACGTGCATATGAATATTATATGAGCCGCGTCACGACAAAACCAACATTGATCGTTTGCGACCAGCATAGATCCAGACCAGCCTGCGCATCCGCGCAGTCTGATCAGGATCCATGCTATTCGCTTACCAACCCTATTACAAGTAAAGAAACTGGTAGCGAACAGCATATATCCTGATCAGACTGCGCGGATGCGCAGGCTGGTCTGGATCCATGCTGGTCGCAACCCATTATGTTGGTTTTGTCATGACGCGGCTCATTTCTTGATCTACGAAAGTGGGGTTGTTATCTATCATATCTATTACCTTTCAGTGCAAAAAGTTTGTTGTTTTCATCATTCTATTTAAATATTTTATCCAGAACAATAGTATATTATATTTTATTATAAAGATTATGTGAAAAGTAACGTCACGGCGTCACGGTCCTCGTTAAGCATGGCCGAACTTTATTATGACGCGTACATTATATCCCGTCAGTTTTTTTTATTTTGTTTTTGCTTTTATTTTTGGTTGGATTTTAAGTGACACCAACACAGTATATGTCGTATGGTAACTTTCCAACTTAACTGGTGGATAGAGATCTTAGGTGTAGATTGCATTATGTAAGGCAAAAGCGGGCACCTGGGTAGAACCACCGACGTTCCGTAAACTGACTGGATAGCTTTTTCGCATGAAAGAATGTCATCAGTCCGCCCAGATATCGTTTCGAGTAGTAAATAGTAAATAATGTAAACTATGTAGCGAGAATTGTATTACACTGTTTCATTAACATCAGTATGTTTCGCCATCACACGAGTTCATTCCATTTAATGACAATCTGTAAAAATTGATATTGTTATGACCCTTGTGGCTGAGGGGTTGCCTTTAATGGTTGAGGCATCAGAATTGCAGCCACCGTTTATCACTGTGTGATCATAAGAGGCGACAAAATATTTCAATTACAAGAGTCTATGCATCTCTTAGCTCCAGCAGGTTAGATGAAGTATTGTTGACCCCGGTGTTGCTTTGAAGTTTGTAAAACCCAAGGTTAGTACAAATTATCTTTTCCTGTTTTGGCGCAATAGGACCTATGACCTGTGTTGGTGCGCTGTAAACAAACATACAAAAAAAGCGGATATCGTTGCCAAATACGACAAGCAGGAAAAAATAAACCTAAAAAAAACCCCCCAAATTGGACTGATTTTGCAAATGATATTGTTTCATTAGTGAGTTAAGCACTAAATGGAAATTATTAAATAACTGCTCATACAAACATTTCAACAATGATGCAGATGACCAATGTTGCAAATCGGCTTACAACTCGTAACTCAGGGATCAGAGGATTATCTTGGACGGCCCATATTTTACGAACATTTAAAATACGTTACACAAATTTGTTGCAAAAATCCCGCTTTTTGTAGAATTCAGTTTTAAGATTGGTAGACCATTTATCGTATTTTGATGATCAGGAACTATTGCAATATTCTGCTTTAAAAGTACAACTTTTTTCTCTGTGTAAAAAGGTTGTTTTTGTTTTTCATTTTGACAACTATGTACACATGTAGTTGTATAAATTACATTAGGAAATGTTTGTATCTTTTTGTCAAAAAACATACTTGACATTAACTCAACATTTAATTTATTTTGTCTAATATCGTAAGGTTAAAGGTTATGTTTACGTACGTTAAAATATAAACGTATACGTATAACGTGACGTTTATTAAAACTGTAACATTGAAGTTAATCGTAACTCACGTGAATTAAGCATGGTACATAGAGATACAGTAACGAAAAAATGAAAGAAGTACGTTTTTATATAGAATATTATAATTTGTTGAACATTGCATATTGTTTTTAATTACATAAGCTATTTCTGTTATACCAAAAAATAAGACCTAACTGCATTTGATTGAAAATTTAGTTATATATTAAAACGTAAAAGGACTTCGTATTTAACGTTACACATATTTCTTTTATTGTCATTTTCTGATTTTTCTCAAATGTTTAGAAAGATGATTTTATAAGGTGGATTGATTAAGGTCAGAATTATACCTCACCTTTGCATCAATGTCTAGTCCAGGGTTGTCTAGTCCAGTTACTTTGTAATGTCCTCTTGTATGAATTTTAGCGTTTTTTGCTATAGTCAAATCCATGTTGGTTTCATTAACATTGACATATGCCCGTATTTGATTAACTCAACAAGATCTCGCTTATATACTCATGTCTTAAGCGGCGCATAAGTATTAAACATAATTATGCATGCATGATTGCGCGGCGAACTCTCCAACAGTACAACTTTAATGATTTCGTCCACATTTGAAAAGTAAAATGTCTTTTTCCTATCATTATGATATGAAATGCTATGCAGTATAAATACATAGATAAATAAATGAATATTTTTTGGTTTATGTCATTCTGTAATTTCAAAATATAAAAGTAAAATGTTATCATTTGAAGTATTAAAAAGATTTCCGTACTTTTATGAAAAATTGTCTGATGATCAACATTACTATCATTACCACCGTTGTATCATCATTTTCATTATTATTATTTTTCTCATCATCATCATCATCATCATCATCATCATCATCATCATCACGATCATCATCATTATCACCATCATCATCATCATCACCACCAACACCACCATCACCATCATGATCACCACCATCATCATCATCATCACCACCATCATCTTCACCATTTTCATCATCATCATTGCAATCACAATCATTACCAGCACCACCACCCACCATTACCACCACCATCACCACCACCACCACCACAATCACGACAACCACAACTGCCATCATCAACAAGAAAAACATAATCAGTACTTTATTTATTATGTATGTCTTATAATAAGAACAACAACTCGATTAAAACACACTTATCATCATCATCATCATCAACAACAACAACAACAACAACAACAGCAGCAACAACTACAACAACAACAACAACATAAAAACAACAACATCAATAACAGCAAATAACATCTGTTATTTGAGGTAAACTGACCCATTTATGATCAGGTGACGTTGTTAGTTTACAAGTATTGTCGGCTTTAAACTTATCATACCTGGTCAAAAGGACAGGCCGAGTTAGTATTCTTTAATCTCATCAACGCAAATTTGAAAAATAACGTTTTAGTAATTTACAAGGGTCGATGAAAATTTTTAAGTTTGTGGCTTCTGAACACTGAAATTTCAAAAAGCTGTAATTGACGTCACCAATTTTCTGTCAATTTACGTTCTCTCTCGTGCAATTTGTAACCATACTAATCACTAGTGTCTTTTTTTGCACTTAAGGTATTTTATATTTTATTTTATATGATGTAAACAATTTTTTATTATCATTTTACATTGTGAATACAGCTAAGGCTTAGTTTTAAAATAAACTTTTCATTTCTATGTTCAGTATGCAGCTATTAAAAAGGGGGGGGGGGGTAGTAATCCTCTTTTAATCATTTGTATCTTAAGAGTTGCCTCCCTGGATACGCAAATGCTATTTATTGTCTACAGTATACAATATGCAGAATAAATAATATACATGTATATATTAGCAGAATAAAAAAACTTGGAAGTGGAAAAATAATGGTATTCAAATATCTTCTATATTAATAAGTTCTAAATAATCGAAGCATCAAACAAGAAAAAGAGAAATAAATTAAGTTAAGGAAACGATAACTGGAAACATAACTTAACAGATTTATTAATTAATTAAAGTTAGAGGCCAAACATTAATGACTTAATGTTGATTGTGTATTAAATTAATCTCAACCTCTGATTTTTCAAAATTAATATTTATGTCAACTTACCGACATCTTAAATAATGTCGGACTCTTTTACCAGTTAACATGTAATTGTCCTTAGTTCGTGCATCCATAACTTTATATGTCGCTTTTATTTTGACGTTGTGCGACAATAAAACCCGTTCGCTGAAATCTCTTTAGCTAAATCGCCATGCAATAAACAAATACATGTACCGATGAAACTAATATCAATGAAAACATTTTACAGCTACTTTACTACTTTTTATTTGAATGTAAGTAATGAAAATACTTTTATAACAATATCATTTTGTTATTTAATTGGTGAAAACAAATTTCTTCCTCATACAAACAAAATTAATCGCCCCCTTCGATATTTATAGAAGTTGATTTTTTTTTTAGATTTTTCATATTCCATAGGAAATTGAATTTCAAGATAAATTATAATATCAAATTTTAATCTTTCACGAATCTCGAATTTTAACATCCTACAGTTTTATTTTTAGTAGCATGCTTTCAAATGTATAAAATACCCATCTTCCTCTGACGCTTTTTATTTCGTTTATTAATTCTGAAATGTATCATTTTTACAGCCTTGTCCCAACTAATAGGCCTGTGTTTGGAAACTTATGGGCATTAATAGATGTATAGGGAAACTTATGGCCGCTTTTGAGTAATTAGGCGGGGGATATAGAAAAAGGGTCCGTCCGTCCTTCCGTCCGTCCGACATTTTTGTCCGGTGCATATCACAAAAGTATTTGAGATATCAACTTGAAACTTCATAGATGGATAGATCATATTGAGGAAGAGTGCAGTGCACAAGAATGATAACTCTACCCTGCATCATTTTTCAGTTATTGCCCTTTGTTATTTTTCAAACTTATTTTTTTGTCCGGAGCATAACTCAAAAAGCATTTTAGATATCAACATGAAACTTCATAGGTGGATAGATCTCACTCAGGAGGTGTGCAATGTATACAAATGATAACTCTACCCTTCATAATTTTTGAGTTATTGCCATATGTTATTTTTCATACTTAACTTTTCACTTCAGTGGAGCATAACTCTAAAGGTCTTTGAGATGTCAACGTGGATTTATCTTATTAAGGAGGAATTCTGTGCGCAAAAATGACAACTCTACCCTTTATAATTTTTGAGTTATTGCCCTTTGTTATTTTTCATACTTTTTGTCAGGAGCTTGTCTCAAAAAGTGTTAGAAATATCAACTTGAAACTTCATATGTGGATAGATCTCATTAACTTAAGGAGGCGTTCAACACACAAGAATAATAACCTACACTGCATTATTTTTTCACTTATTCCCCTTTTTATTTTCAGCCATCAGTATTCACATAGGTTTTAAATCTGTAATCACTTCAGCCATCAGTTTTCATTACCAAAAGATTTCTTAAAATTGAATTTTTCTGCTCTACTCATATACATTCTTCCAATGAGCAAACACATTCGGCGGGGGATGGCCATGTTAACATGGCTCTTGTTCAAATTAGAATATCCGTATCCTAGTGGAAAAATGTGAGGCGTGTCACATTGTCAATGTTTATGTTGCATCTATATAGAAAGAAGTATTACTTTAAATAATTAAATATATTTTAGCTTATTATCTTGTTATGTAATGAAAATTTATCACTTATAAAACAGGATTTGATCTTGCCTGTATTGTATATCATTTCTTTTTAGGGTAACTTTATATTCACTCTTCACAAAACAGTGACTGAAGAAAAGAAAATGCATTTCTCAAACTGTTAAATTTAGTGTTGATGAGTATCAAAACATTTAAAACTTTCCGATTTATCACCATCATCACCATCATCGTCGTAAACATCGTCATTATCACAGGCGCCATCGGCTTTATTATCAACAACATCATCACCATCATCATCATCATCATCATCATCACCATCATTATCATCATCACTATCATCACCACCATCACCATCATCACCATCATTATCATCACCATCATTATCATCACCATCATTATCATCACCACCACCATCATCATCATCACCACCATTATTATCATCACCATCATCATCATCACCATCATCATCATCACCATCATTATCATCACCACCATCATCATCATCACCATCATTTTCATCACCATCATTATCATCACCATCATTATCATCCACCACCATCATCATCATCACCATCATCACCATCATTATCATCACCATCATTATCATCACCATCATTATCATCACCATCATTATCATCACCACCATCATCATCATCATCATCACCATCATCATCATCACCATCATTATCATCACCATCATCATCATCACCATCATTATCATCACCATCATTATCATCACCATCATTTTCATCACCACCACCATCATCATCACCATCATCATCACCACCACCATCATCCTCATCATCATCATCATCATCATTATCATCACCATCATCATCACCATCATCATCATCACCATCATCATCATCATCATCATCATCACCATCATCATCATCACCATCATTATCATCACCATCATTATCATCACCATCATTATCATCACCATCATTATCATCCACCACCATCATCATCATCACCATCATCATCATCACCATCATTATCATCACCATCATCATCATCACCATCATCATCATCACCATCATCATCATCACCATTATCATCATCATCATCACCACCATCATCATCATCACCACCATCATCATCATCACCAGCAGCAACAACAGCAACAGCTAAATCTAGTAAAATGTGCAATGAAATATCTTCAAGAAAAACAATTGACGGGAGGTAATCAAGTTATGAATGTATTTGACATGACTGGAAAGTTATCTTTTTCCCAGTTTACTAACACCGTGACATGTTTTGTATTGTTTTGTGCTGTTAAAGTTTAATATATACTTCAAACAAGTTTTAATATTAACAAAATAAAAAGAAACGTTTAATAAATGAATTAAATAAAATACATCAATAAGTTTTGTACTTTATTTTCATTAATTTACATACGCTTAACATTAAATAAAAAAACAAAACATAATATTAAATGTGTGTAAAGTAAAGACACATGTAATATTACATGTAAAACAAGGTAATCGTTTGATAAAAATCTTATAACAACAGTATTTAATTAGAAAGTTTGGTGAATTGGTACATTTAAAGTTTACTACCATAAAGGATCATAATTAAACGTGATATTTTACAACAAAAATCAGTGATAATATCAAACAGAAGCTAATATTATAAACATAGGAAATGCCCGAAAGTTTGCTTTTAGAAAGTAATGAAGTAGATGAAAGAAATACAGATTCAAGAGTAAAGCTATAGAGTTGGATGGACCAAAAAATGACGTCTTAAATGAATAAATTAGGCAAACGTTTTGATTTTTAAATATGAGTGGAAACAGTTTTGAATCTACTTCATTATCGCCAATAAAATGGTTTTAAGAGGAACAGAACATTATA